CCTTCCCATTGGATCCAGAGGAGACAGTTCAGGATCCAGCCTCACCCTTCCCATTGGATCCAGAGGAGACAGTTCAGGATCCAGCCTCACCCTTCCCATTGGATCCAGAGGAGACAGTTCAGGATCCAGCCTCACTCTTCCCATTGGATATAGAGGAGACATTTTAGGATCCAGCCTCACCCTTCCCATTGGATCCAGAGGAGACATTTCAGGATCCAAACTCATCCTTCCCATTGGGTCCAGAGACATTTCAGGATCAGCAAGTTTTAGTCTGAAAGGGGGAATTTTTTGCAGGAAGGGGGGTTTGTGCCTGAGGAATATTCCGCAGGGAGTGGAGTGCTGGTGCACACACAGTTTTCCATGGATCAGTATTCCATGGATCCATACATACCCACAGCAAACACCGTCACCCCCAGATCCTGCAGGGCCTGGGCTTCGGCTTCCACGGAATCGCTGGATTTCCCATCCGTGATCAAAACAACCACCTGTGGGAACAGGGGGAGGACAAATCAGGGAAGGAAAGGGAAACATGAGGAATTCCTGAGGATTTCCCACTGGGAGCCAGGCTTTGGATGGAATTCCTGTCCTGAGATTAAATCCCGTGAGGACCCAACACCTCCAGGATAATTCCCAGGGAATCGGCTTCCAGGAGCTCTGCCTGTGTCCCAGCACTGCATTCCAGGCATTGCAGGATCCAGCCTCACCCTTCCCACTGGATCCAGAAGACACAGTTCAGGATCCAGCTGAAACTATGTCCAACTCAGGAATCCAACTCAGTGATCTCAGACCTTCAACTACTTCCCAATCATCATTCCCAGACCTTCCACTACTTCCCAATCAGCATTCCCAGACCTTCCACTACTTCCAGAGAAACATTCCCCAACCATCAACTGCTTCCAGCTCAGCCTTCCCAGACCTTCAAACACTTCCCAGTCTGCATTCCCAGACTTTCCACTACTTCCAGAGAAACATTCCCAGATCTTCAACTGCTTCCCAATCAGCATTCCCAGACCTTCCACTACTTCCAGCTCAGCATTCCCAGACCTTCCACTACTTCCAGCTCAGCATTCCCAGACCTTCCACTACTTCCAGCTCAGCATTCCCAGAGTTTCCACTGCTTCCCAGTCAGCATTCCCAGACCTTCCACTGCTTCCCAATCAGCATTCCCAGACCTTCCAGCCCTTCCAGCTCAGCATTCCCAGACCTTCCACTCCTTCCAGCACAGCATTCCCAGACTTTAAACAACTTCCAGCTCCGGGACTCCAAACAGGTCACGCTGACTCTGTGTGGGTCTCGGAGGGAAGGAGAAGGCAGATTCCACGCCTTGGGATAACGGAGCTGGAGGTGTGATTACTGCCCCCCCTCCTACCCCCTGGAATTCCCAGGGATATCCCACCTTTGCTGCCTCCTCTCTCCGCGTGTCCGGCCGGGACAGGATCCGGGTGGCAAAGGCCAGGGCTGTTCCCGTCCTCAGGCTGCCGCCTCCCAGGGACGGATCCGGAATTCCAGCCAGCTTTTCCCTGACGGCCGTGGGGTCTGTGAGCTCGATGCTCATCCTGGGAATGAGGAATGGCGGGATAAGGAGTGAGGAAACGCAGCGAGGACAAGGAATAAGGGCATGAGCAGCGATAACGTGGATCTTTAGTTGGTGTTTTCCCAGAGAAGCTGTGGCTGCCCCTGGATCCCTGGAAGTGTCCAAGGCCAGGTTGGAGCAACCTGGGATAGTGGGAGGTGTCCCTGGGGTTGGAACTGGATGGGCTTTAAATTCCCTTCCAACCCAAACCATTCCAGGATTTTCAGAAATGAGGGGGTTTAGGATCCACCCTCGGTGCTTCCAGGTCTCTCTCCAGCTTAACCATTCCCAGCCAAGGGAAACGCTGGATCCAGGAGGGAAAACAAAGTTCTGGATGCTCCTGGCACAGCCCAGCCCCAAATTCCAGTTCCAAATGGGGCCACAGAGTCCTTGGAGCCCCTTGCAGGGCCTAAAGGGGCTCCAGGAGAGCTGGAGAGGGA